GTGCTACGTATGGTCAGTGCTGCTATATGGCGTAGAGTGCTGGACACTCAAAACGAGGATATAAACAGATTGAAAGCTTTCGAAATGTAACTTTATCGCCGTATCCTAAAAATACCATGAACAGCGAAAATCACAAATATAGATGTCCTTAAAAAAATAAACCAAGAACGCCAACTTTTCGAAACCATCAAGAAAAGGAAAACGGCGTATCTAGGTCACATCATGCGAAATGAAAAATACCAGTTCCTCCAACTTATAATCGAGGGTAAAATTGAAGGCAAGAGAGGAATGGGACGCAAGAAAATGTCCTGGCTCCGAAACATAAGGCAATGGACAGGGATTAACGACATACAATCTCTGATACATATTGCAAGAAATAGAGAGTTAATGGAAAATGTGATCGCTAACATCCATTAGTGGATTTGCATCTGAAGAAGAAGAAGAAGAAAGAAGATATCCTTATTTGTGCCACCTCTTTGTGTACGTTTTATCATGGATACTTCATGTGATTGATTGGAAGTTGTGATAACCGTGAATTTTTTGGTATCCAACCACTTTATTGCTGTTATACTTTCACTGCTCAAACAATAGAATTCATTTTTTCGAAGTTTTTTATTTTTGGTTTGCTTTTTCCTTATAAAATCGGTAAACCTTTGCGATTAGGTCTGACTGTACCTATAGCGCACAGCTGTTTTGCATATAAATCTTCCAACAAGATTTGTGTGGTATATCTTGGCATAATTTGGTTAAAACCTTGTATCCCAAGCCATCATTTTATGCCTTTACTTTTTCCAATGCAGGTAATCAACTGGTACAAATACCCCGTAGTAGCATCACGCTTTGCCCAAAATTTATATTTACGCTTAATTGGTTTCTTGGGCATATACTGTTTGATAGAACCACGTCCTTTAAATTTCACCATGCATTCATCAATGGAAAATCGACTTCCATGATTGGCTTGTTCTTTGAAAATATCATTTAGTCTATCTAAAAATGGTATTATCTTATATAGTATATCAAAGTTAGGTAAATCTCTCTCTGCAGCTGCTGAATTGTCATTTATATGAAACTTTTATATTAATTTTTCGAACCTGGTTATTGTAAAAGCTTTGGAGATAACAGGAATATTATAAAAAGGATCACTTGTTGGAGGACGTCCCCGATTACGATAAGCATCGTGTCTAGGTCTTCATTCCAGAATTGTCTTCGTCCACCTTCTATCTTTTAATTTGGCAACATGTCTTGCCCAGTTCCATTTCAATGTTATAATCCTTTGAACTACGTCAGTAACACCAGTTTTTCTCCTAACTATTGTATTTGATACTTTGTCTCTGAGGGATATATTCAGCATTGATCTCTCCATCGCTCTCTGTGCCACTTGTATTTTATTGATTACTTTTCTGGTAAGGGTCAATGTTTCTGCTCCATACGTTAGAACTGGGAGTACACATTGATCAAAGACCTTCCTTTTCAAGCACATGGGAATATATGTTCTAAAGGGTGTAGTCCTAATAAAATAAAAATACCTAGCAATGCCCTTATTTCTTCTTGACTAGTGATTTTGTAATGTTTGCTGTCTTTTTGTCTTCTTCTTCTTCTACTTTTTGTAGATCTTTCGATCTGTTTAATTCTGAAGCTGCCTCTGGTTAATTTCTTGGGAGGTAGATTGCCAACTATCCCTCCATCTTTTAGGTGGTCTTCCGGGGGGTCTTGAACCGGGCGGATTGTTTTCTAGGGCAATTTTTGGGAGTCTATTCTCATCCATTCGTCTGACATGGTTGTACCACATCCTCTTGCGCTGCCTTCCCCATCTTACAATATCTTGAATTTTGCACTGCTCTCTAATGTTTGTATTTCTCGCTCTGTCTCTTCTTGTTTTCCCCATTATTGTTCTTATGGTTTTCATTTCGGCAACCCTTAGCATCTGTTTCGTTTTGTTAGTATCTTCGCGTACTTCTATGCCATATGTCATGATCGGTCGTATGCAAGTCTTATAGATTCTAATTTTACTATCTGTGTGCATATACGGATTTGACCAGACTATCTCCCGCAGACATCCTGACAGTGCAGATGCTTTGTTGATCTGACTCCTCAGGTCCTTTACTGGGTCGTGGGTGCTTGATGTATCTATGCCCAGATATCTGAATTGCATCACCTGTTCTATTCCGTTGTCCTCAACCACTAACTTACATCTGAGCGGATCTTTTGCTGTTGTCATACATTTAGTTTTGATGGTAGAGATGTTCATATTTAGTAGTCGACTTGTTTGAAAGAACTGAAAGAGCTATCTTTGAAAATTATCTTCTGATTTGGCAATAATTGCTGCATCGTCTGCGTAACACACCATACCAATTCTTTTGTTGTCCATTCTATATCCGAGATTAAGAGATGTTACTTTGTTGATAATTTTGCCCATGAGAAGATTAAACAAGAAGGTGCTTAAACTGTCGCCTTGTCTAATTCCTCCCGGTGTTGGAATATTTTCAGTGAATTCGTCTCCTGCTCTAACTTTGGTTACGTTGTTGTTATTTAGTTTATGGAGTATCTTTATTATACTGGTCGGTGTTTCATTTTCTATTAATATATTTAGAATGTCTCCCAGGCGAACTCTGTCAAATGTCTTCGTCAAATCAATGAAGCAAATATACGCTGGCGTGCCGAACTATATAGCTTTTTCTTTTATTTGTTTTATTATAAATACTGCGTCTGTTATAGACCGCCCTTTTGTAAAACCTTGTTGTTCTTCAGCATTAGTGATTTGCTTTTCCAATTTGTCCTTGAGAATACCCGTGAAAAGTTTCATTGTTGTATTTAAGAGGGTTATTCCTCTATAGTTTTGTGCGCAGGTTTTTGTCCTTTTTTAAATATGGGGATTGTGATACTATTATTCCATTCCTCTGGTGTTTCTGTTTTGTTTAATATTTTGTTAAATAGTTGTGCCAGTTTACTTGCAAGTTCCGAGCCTCCATATTTTAAAAGTTCATTGGGTATACCATCCGTTCCCGGTGATTTTCTGTTTTTTAGCTTTTTGATCTTTGCTTCTACTTCTTCGTCATTGATTGTAGCACTCACATCTGTTTCGCCTTCGTTTATATTCAGCGTTTCTTCAGCATCATATATCTCTTTAAAATGCTGTAGCCATGACCCTATAGGTACTCCTTTGGTCTGCACGAACTCGTTAACTGGTTTTTTCCTGTTGCGGAGCAGTTTCCATACTTTCTTTTGGGCACCATATAGGTCGTAGTCCATGTCGCAAGTGAATTTGGCCCAATGTTCTCTTTTGATTGATTTTATTCTAGCGTTTGCTTCGTTTCTTATTTGGACATATTCTGCATGAGCTTCTTCCGATTGCGTGCTTTTATATCTCAGGTAGCATTTGCGTTTTAATTCAGAGAGTTCTTTTACCTCTTGGCAAAACCACGGTTTGGTGTGGTTTGTCGCTCTCGTGTTAATTTTCCGCTTTCCAATCGCTTCTTCTGGTGCTTCGTTGATGCATTTCTTAATTTTTTGCCAAGTATCTTCTACTCCCCATTCGGGTTTTAAGTCGATCTCTTTTAGTTTGCTGGTAATCCTGTTCTCATAAAGCAGTTTTGTACTCTCTGTTGCTAGCGACTCTATATTATGTTTTTCGATGAACATTGGGGGTTTTCTGTTTCGTTGCGGACGTTCTAGTAGCATCTTGCATAAAACAAGGTTATGATCAGTCCCCAGGTTAGCAGATAGTTAGTGCTCTGACATCAAGCTTGTGACGGAGTTATCGCTCCATTTGTGATTATAAAATCTATCATTGATCGCTGGCCTCGATTATTGTTAAAAGTGTATTTATGTTGGTCTTTATAAAGAAAGTATGTATTGTTGATTCTCATTTCATTTCTAGCGCAAAAGTCTATTAGTGCTTCGCCGTTTTCATTAATTATTTCTTCGTTGTACTTTTGTTTTATACCTGGTATGACAAGGTTTTCGATCCGTGCATTAAGATCCCCGAGTACGATAATTTTGTGTTTCGTATTTATGTTATCTACGACGTTTTGTAGTTGCTGATAGAAATTTTCAGTTTCTGCTGTGGGTTTAGATATGTCTGGGGCATACGTGCTTATCAGGTGTGTTGTGATGTTATGCATTTTTATAGAGATTTTTAATAATCTATAGTTGATGTATTCGATATCTTCGATGTTTTGCGTGTATTTATCGTGCAGCAAAATTCCAACTCCTGAATGCGCTCATTCTTGTTTAGCTTTCCCGCTGTATATGAGTATAAATTCTCCGTATTTTGATGTTCCTTGGCCTTTTTTCTTTGTTTCGGTGATTCCGCAGATGTCAATATTGTGTTTCTTCATTTCTATTATGATCTCCTGGTCTCTTCCGTTCCACGACGTAATGTTCCAGCAAGCGATTCGTGTGATGGGGTCTTTAGGTTTTCGTTTACCAATTCGTTTTTCCATTGTCATAGCGTGTGTCGTCATCTGATATTTCCGTCCGGTATCCGAGACTGAATGTTCAGTTCTGTGAGCCAATATTTGTGGGGTTTCTTTACCCCAGGTAGGTGGCTAGCCTTGCCATGGGGACCCTCCTCCTTTATCCGGGCTTGGGACCGGCAGTGTCATCCGATGAGCTACTCAATCCGCCCATCAGACAACCCAGGCGGAGTTTCTCTTTTTGTACAATATATAAATTTGTTTGAGCAACAATTTGTTCTATTAGATTACAAGGGAAGAAATTCTCAAAATAAAATATTGGTTGGCTTTTATGGGTAAATTGAACATTTGACTGTAAATTGGCTTGTGGGTCAGTCTCAGATGTTCTTTCGTTTGGTTTATATTATATTATAAAATATCTGTAATGACCCTCATGTGTATAATCTACGTTTAAGAAGTTTGAATCAGATATGATTTAAATGCTTCAATACATGTTGCTAGTATATCAATCATTAGATAATGCTCCTTTTTTGTATTAGCATTAAGACATAACACAAATATATAACTTTTTATATTACATTTTAGGTCTTCGTATTGATGTCATATTTTAACCTCTTGTCTTCAACGCTTAGTGGAATTTTAGTCAGAGGAGTTACAGAGTTAGCTGAGTTGTACACGTCAATAAAACGTTTACAGGAATTTTTAGAAAATGATGAATACAAATACCAACAACTGGATACAGTTATAAGCAAAACAACTGAGAACTCAAAAGCTGCTATAAAAATTGAGAATCTAACTGCTAGGTGGAATTCCTCGAGCAGTGATTGTACACTGTATGATATTAATTTAGAGGTGGGCACAGGAAAACTTATCGGTATTATAGGACCAGTTGGAGCTGGAAAGAGTTCTTTGTTACAAACTTTGTTGGGTAAGTCTAAAAAAGTCTAAATATATACTTTATATTATTCTATTCCCCATAGTACCTGTTATAAGTCTTATCATGGGTACTTAAATATCTTTCAAAATTATTTTATCATCCAAAGTTATTATCTTATTTGTAGTAGAAATTTTTCTTTAAACGAACATTCTAGATTCTTCGTTTTGGTTATACTAAATTTAAACCTTTTTTTTTTATGAGTTTGTCTCCACTGTGCTAGTCTTTGTGATCACATTCCAATATTCCGGATAATACCAGATTTTCCGCATATATTAAGCAGCAAGGAATATTGTGTTAAAATCTTTCTGTTATCGGATCTAACAGTTTTTTTTTTCTTGTGCTTTGTGCTTAGTTGCATTGACGGTTGTTTGTACTTTTCAAACAATTTGTAGAGTGAAGTAAATATTGCACTATTCGACTAATCTCTTCTGTCTCGTAGCCAGGAATCTTGTTTTTCTTCCTGATCCTAGGGACTTTGTGCCTTTCCCTGTATAATTACTTTGGGAATGTAGTATTTACTAGTGCAGAAATTAAAATATTAAAGGTAAGATACTCGACAGATCCAGCTAAATATAAAAAGGCAACAAATCTGAAATTTCAAACATCAAAAAGGAAAGAGGCTCTAAACATGAACGATACAATATAGAAGGACTCAAAGAAACAAACAAAAATAGAGAGTACAAAGAAAATATAAGCATCAAACTAGAAAACAGACTAAAACATGAAAACCTAAATAAGGAGTGGGAAGAGTGCAGAGAAATCATAAAAGAAACAGCTAAAGAGGTGTTGGGCATGGAAGGTAAAGAAAGAAGAACAAGAACGAATCACTGGTTTGACGAAGAATGTCAAACTATAACAGAAAGAAAAAACAGAGCATATCTACAGATGCAACAGAGGCAAAGAACCCGACAAGCAGAGGAAGAATATAAACAACTACGTAAAGAAGAAAAGAAAATTCACCGAAGAAAGAAGAGAGAATATATCAACAAAGAACTTCAAGAACTACAAGAACTAAGTAAACCAACAGAGACAAGAAAATTTTACCAGAAACTCAACAAAAGCAGAAAAGAGTTCAAACCGAGAACAACGATGTGTAAAGATAAGGAGGGTAATATACTAACAGAACAGCAAGAGATACTTAGAAGATGGACAGAACATTTTAAGGAAAAGATTGGGGTGAATAGGACGAAGATGAACCCTGATATACCGTTAGACCAAGCAGACAACAGAGAAAAGAGTCCACCAACAATAGCAGAGATTAGAACAGCAGTGGACAAATTAAAGAACAATAAATCACCGGGATCGGATCAAATATCATCGGAGCTACTGAAAAAAAGGAGGAGACGCATTATTTAAAGCCATACATGAGCTGATAAGAAAGATATGGTTGAATAAACAGCTACCAAAGGAGTGGAATAGCGGCATTATTGTACCACTACATAAAAAAGGAAACCAGTTAGAATGTGAAAACTACCGTGGAATCACGCTGTGATAATATATTTAATATATAAGTCATAATATATTTAAAAAAAATTCGATAGGATACAACATACAAAGCTAATTAAACTATTATGGCAAATCGTAGTTGGTAACTGAGACATATGAGCAAAAATAAGTTGTATTGCATACAGAAGGCAAATGTAAATATAAAAGAAAATGCAATGCCAAATAACACGCAGTGATATAAACAGGGAACTTATCAATACTACATGTTTTATTGATTATCGAAAAGCATTTGACTGCATTAATCATAAAAAAAACGAAATTCTGAGAACAATTGGAATTGTCAAACAAGATTTGAAAGAATTAAAATAGAGCTCACAAACACACGAAGATATACGAATCGTACAATATTTCTATTAATTAATAATTCAAAAAAATTCTAGTATTGATAACAACAAACGTACATTTCGCACCCTCAGTGCAAGACTGCGGTAAGTCATGCTAATATCGGTGAAATAAGACACAAGTAAAAAAACATTACATTTATTTATGATTTTGCATGCTTTTCAGCCTATATTACATTAACCAAAAATATAAATTTAAATAAAATAATATCAATGCTAAAAAAAATAGGAATTTTTCAAAGTTACAACACTTTTGCACGGAGAAAATTGTTAATCACTACACATTTAGTAATAGAATTTTAAAGTTACAACACTTTTGCACGCAGAAAATTGTAAAAAGTGTATACACATTTTCTGTTAGTTGTGGTCCTCTTCTCGTACATCATCTTGGACCAAAATATTTATATAAAAACTATGGTGGGCTTCTGGTATCATACCTGAATGGCAATAAATCATCGGGTAAGTATAGAAAAAATAATCCCCAATAGCAATCGAGGTTTAGTATGGTATTAAAATTTACTTTTAATAGATTTACAGAAAAAAGATAGCTACCCAAAATAAATAGGTACCTAATAAAAAGGATTATCGCTAGCGGCAAATTAATCTTTCTATGTTTCTGATAGCCGCAATTTCTTGGCTTTGTAATTAGAATGTCATAACAGGGTAGAAAAATTATTTGTAAAACTTTCAATATTTTTATTCAAATTTAAAACAAAAGGACTGATAAAAAAAATGCAAATCAGACTACCTTGAGTACAGTGATTAACAAAAGGATAGAAATTTACTACGGACGAACAAGTTTTCTGAGAATAGATAGTTTTAACCTGTCAGTATTGTTAATACACAAGTTTTAAGATAACTGTTTTTCCTTTGATAAGAAAAAATCATTTTTGGCTATAAATAATTAGTCCTAATTCATGTTTGTTTAATCCAATCTACTAAATAAATGGTCAGACGACATCGCACACATTTTATGAAAAATAAAATGTCACACAAAGGACATAAAACTTACATGAATAAATTGGTAAATCGTAAATCTTTGTTTATTGTGTTGGCCGTCAATGGATTACGTAGACACGCTGTATATTAAAATTAAACTCCACAGATATAGATATTAGAATAACAAATATTCTACGTTTTTTGTGCCTTTCATTGCTTTTTATCGAAACCATTGCAATGTTCGTGCAAAAATGTTGTAACTCCGTTACATTAGACTTACAACAGTTTTGCATGGAACTTATGTACAAAAACGTAAAATAGTTAAACTGTTGCTGTTGTAATATTTATGCGGTTAAGCATCTATCTCCTGTAAAAATCATGTCCAGGCTGGGAGAATTGGGCGTTAGTGAGTACCTGGTTAACGTCATTGACAGATACTTTACTGACAGGTGGCTAATGCGGCTAACACAGCCCTGCGTCGCATTAGTAGGTGGATCAGAGAAAACGATCCCCAGCTAGCACCTCAAAAAACTGAGGTGTTAGTTCTCAAAGAAAGCCGGGAAAAATCCTTTATAGTGGAAGGTATGGAGAGTGCACCGGTTAAATCGACTAAGTATCTGGGAATATGGATGTCCAAAGGACTAAGGTTAGGAGTACACTTCCAAAAGACAGTAGAGAAGGCGAACCGAAATCTTGAGGCATTGTTACGGCTGATGCCAAACATTGGAGGCCCAGGTAGCACCAAATAAAAGGTGCTGAATGGAGTTTTCCAGTCGGTGGTAACCTACGCTGCCTTCGTGTCGTATAGCGTACTAAACTCTGCGACATACGCTAAAAACTGCAAAATACTGCGAAAGAACGACAGTACAATGGAAAAGAGAATGGGCGAATGATAGCGGGAAGGCAAGTTGGACGAAGAAGCTTATTCCAGATCTGAGGCCGTGGTGGGAATGTAAGCTCAGGAAACTATACTACTTCCTGACCCAGTTTCTGACCGGAGATGGTAGTTCTCACACCTTCATATATAGAATAGGCAAATCTGCCTCGGCAGACTGTAATGTTTATGGAGTCCCGGACGCTCCCGCCCACTTTTTTGACTGTCAGAGATAGGCAAATGAGAGGGACGATTTCAAGAGGCGGATGGGTTTCGGGCTGGATGAAAGAAACATTGTAAACATAATGTTGAGAGGAGAGAAAAAATGGAGAGAAGTACACTGTCTCATTTCTGGGGTGATGCAGAAAAGGGAGCAGGACGACAGAGGAGGAAATTGAGCCAGAGATATGAAATTGATCGTTAATATTATTTAGTTTATGGCTTAATGTCTGAAACTTTTTCTTATTAACGTTAATAGGTATGGTTATTTATAAATATTTAGTTTTTTATTTTAGTTGTTCATTCAGTGGCAAGACCACCTCTCTGGAACTGTGCTTAAGGTTTTAGCCGGAACACAGTTAATCCGACACTGGTCCGAGTATCCTACTCGGCCGAAAAATGCCAGGATGTTTTGTTCCGTGACGTGGATGTGCTGCTGTCAATTATATAATCAAGTTCTTACGTGTTCGCTTTAATTTTTATTTTACGTAATTACTACATTTTTTCAATTTTCTGTCGGTACCTCGGATATTGCTTAAAGATTAAGATTATTCATATTCCAGAATTTAAAAGTTGTATTATTTTGAGTAAGGTCATCTTTGATTTGAGCTCATATTAACTCTATCAGATTAAACTTACAATAATGGAGTGGAAAACCAAGTATTTCAGTACCTCGTTTTCTGGTTTTCTACTCAATAACATATTGTTTATAATGTTATTTATGAATGTTTCTAATACTTATTAATTCTGCTTTTGCCATTGTATCGTCAACGTTTAATTCCTTAGTTAAACCTTTGTTCATCTCTAGTTGTTCTACGCGATATTCCTTTGTATATTAAGACTAATCTTTTGAACAAAAATATAAATAAGATATTATTTATAATTTTATCATTTTTTAAATTTTTTTATTCTTATCTTGCAGGAGAAATGGATATAGTTCAAGGTTCTATAGCCGCTAATGGAGATTATTCATACGCATCTCAAGAGCCATGGATTTTCTCGGCCACCATTAGACAAAACATCCTCTTTGGCGCCGACTTCGACAAAAAAAGATACAAAGAAGTAATTCGAGTATGTGCCTTAGCAAAGGACTTAGAACAATTTCCAGAAGGAGATTTTACCATTGTCGGCGACAAAGGTGCTTCATTGAGTGGAGGCCAAAAGGCCAGGATCAACTTAGCTAGAGCTGTTTATAGACAAAAAGATGTGTATTTGCTAGACGATCCATTATCTGCTGTAGATATTCATGTGTCGAAAGTGTTGTATGAACAATGTTTTAACGGATTTTTAAAAAATAAAACAAGGATTTTGGTAACACATCAAGTACATTATTTGAAAACTGCCGATAAAATCATTATTTTAAATAACGTAAGTATAACTTGCTTTTCATTATTTAATAACGCATCGATCACGCAGGGTCACTAGCTTATTTAGATTAACGTGACGATTAATAAAAATAATGTACAAGACTAAGTTTAAAATATTTGTATTGCAATGTGTGTTTTAGATCTTTGGAAGTAATTGAAAGTCTTTAGGATAAGAAAATATTTTTTGAGTATCTTCATTTTCTTCTGGAGCATCTTTTAGGGAGTCGCATATGTTATATTCCCGTTGTTCACTATTGCATTTGGGACACAGTTTTACAGTAAAATACAGACCAACCTACTCCGACCGAAACCAAGCACTTCCTCTATGCTGACGATCTTACAATATGTGCTCAAGGAAATAGTTTTGAAGAAGTGGAGGAGAAACTCGAAACTGCCTTAAAAACAATGACAGCGTACTACTTGCAGAATTCTCTGAGACTCAATCCCTCTAAAACCCAAGTCTGAGCTGTCCACCTTCGGACAAAGGAAGCCAAACAAAAACTCTAAATTGTGTGGAATGGTAATGCATTAGAACACACAAACCAACCTATATATCTTGGAGTAACTCTGGACCGGTCCCTCGCCTACAGACAACATTGCATAAAAACAAGAGGGAAAGTAACAACTAGGACCAGCATACTCAGAAAGCTAACGGGAAGTAAATGGGGCACACGTCCTGAAGTTTTAAGAACAACGGCACAGGCACTGTGTTTCTCAACTGCTGAATATGCGTGCCCCGTTTGGAGCAGATCTGCCCACACCAAACAAGTTGATACTGCGCTAAATGAGACGTGCAGGATAGTAACGGGGTGCATGAAACCAAGGCCACTTACAAATCTATATAGAGCAGCGGATTTTGCCGAACCCTCAACACGCAGAGGCGCTGCAGAGCACATACAGAAAATTAAACAGATCGCGGACAATCGGCATGCCCTATACAGAGCTCGAACACCACTAAAGCGACTAAAATCTAGAAAAAGCTTCCTTGGAACAGTGCAGGATGAACCGCCTGAGTATTTTCCACTTCCCCAGGTTCAATGGACCGGCCAGACCCTAGACTTTAAAACGTGGAAAACCTTGAATAGGATAAGAACGGGGGTTGCTACAGTAAAATCAAACATGGAAAAATGGGGAAAAATAGACCAAGATGATGTGAACTGTGACTGTGGAGAAACACAGAATACGGAACATCTTCTTACATGCAGAAACTGTCCTCATCGATGTACCCTTGAAGATTTGTGGCTCGCCAACAAAGATGGAACCGACGTAGCCCGATACTGGGCCGAAATTTTATAAAGGACAGGACACGATAAAGTAAGTAAGTAAATACAGTCAATACATAATATTGACGAGTACTAGGTCGACTAAAATATTATCTACTGGAACCCTGTAAAGAAATATCAAAGACTTCCGCAAGGAGTAAAGAAGAATGAATGAATGACGAGATACTGAATATGATGAAAAAACGGAGACAATTTAAAAACAACGACAACAGTAAATACATAAAGGTAAATCACGAGATCAGGAAGATGATAAAGCAGGCAAAAAAAAATACTTTGAAGAGAAATGCAAAGCGATCGAAGACCTTCAAATAAATATGATCTGTTTAATATACACAAGAATTTTAAAGAACTGGCAGGACTAAGAAAACAAAATCCCACTCATGCAATTCTGGATAGACACGGGACTACTATAACATATACCGACAAGAAAGTACAAAGATAGGCAGAATATATCGACGAATTGTTCGATGATGAACGAGGAGATCTGAAGCGCATAGAACTTACGTCAGAAGAAATAGGTCCATATATTACAAAAGAAGAAATGTTACACGCAATAAAAACAATGAAGAGTGAGAAAAGCCCTGGACCTGACATGCTTCCTATAGAAATCCTAAAATTTCTATATGAGAAGCATATTAATGCTTTAGTGACACTCTTGAAACAAATTTATAGTTCAGGCGTATTATCCAAAGAGTAGTTAACGTTGATTTTTATTTGTCTTTCCAAAAAGAAAAACAGGAGTCAGTGCAGCGATTACCCCACTATTAGCTTGATGTCTCATGTGCTAAAGTTTCTACTAAAAAATCCACAAGGAAAAATTCCTGTAGCTGGCTGTATACCACGTATAACAAAAAGAGGTTAATCTTTGTAAATGGGTATATTTATTTAAAAAAACCCTTAAAAGGGCCACATCAATAAAACAAACGTTTTCGGACTACACAGTCCATCATCAGGTTATTAAAATCGAAAATGCTAGGTCATAATGCCTGAGCCACCAAAATATTAGGGTAAAAACCCTTTAAATTACATTTAGTTATGAAATGTTGTACATTGTCAAATTTAATTTAATATAGAACATCACAGTTATTTTATAACACAATGTACAACATTTCATAACTAAATGTAATTTAAAGGGTTTTTACCCTAATATTTTGGTGGCTCAGGCATTATGACCTAGCATTTTCGATTTTAATAACCTGATGATGGACTGTGTAGTCCGAAAACGTTTGTTTTATTGATGTGGCCCTTTTAAGGGTTTTTTAAATAAATATACCCATTTACAAAGATTAACCCCTTTTTTTTTTTTTTTTTTTTTTTTACTAAAAGTCATCCATAACCGAATATGTCACAAACTGGACATAGACGTTAATGATACACAATTTGGTTTTCGCAAAGGCCCAGGAACGCGTGAAGCTCTTTTTTCACTTACTGATACAAAGATGTATCAGTAATATAACTGGTCGTCAATCAAGATATATACGCGTGTTGTATTGACTTTTGACTTTAATAAAGCATTCGATAAAGTACAACATAAACAATTAAAGAATGTCCTGAAATCAAAGAAGATTGACTACAACGACCTCAGGATCATATTAAATTTATATTATCAGCAAGCAAAAGTACGTATTAACGAACATCTGTCAGAAGAAATTAAAATTAGATGCGGAGTGAGACAGGGATGGGCATTGACACCAATTCTTTTTAATGCTTACTCCGAAGAGATTCTGAAAAACGCTCTTAAGGGTGAAACAGCTGTAATAAAGGTAAATAGAGTTCCCATTAACAACATTAGATATAAGGACGATACTGTGATCTTAGCCGGAAATATTGAAGATCTTCAGAGACTGGTGACCAGAATAGCGGAGTATGGAAAAGAGTAAAGTCTAAGAATGACTGCCAAGAAGACGAAATTTATATGAATCTCAAAAACTCAAAGAAATAAAGAGAATCTTCTAATAAACGTAAGAAACGTCGAACAAGCGGACAAATATGCATATCTGGGAACAACGATTAACTCCACAAATGATTACATTCAAGAGATCAAAATCAGAACAGAAAAGGCTAGAGCAAATTTCAACAAAATGTGAAGAGTGCTATGTACAATAAATTTAAAATTGGAACTAAGAATTAGGTTGGCGAGGTGCTATTTTTTTTTTCGACTTTATTTTATGGAATGGAATCTTGAACCTTGAATGCGGCATCAATGAAAAAACTGGAATCATTGTAGTGTGGGTGTATAGAAGAATTCTGAAAATAACGTGGACAGAACACGTCTAAGAAGGATGAATAAAGAAGTAGAAATTTTAAATACAATTAAAACAAGAAAATTGGAATATCTCGGACATATTACATGTGGAGAGAAATACACCTTGCCCCAACTGATTATGCAGGGAAAGATTCAAGGAAAGAGAAGCATAGAGAAGCGTAGAATGTCATGGATGCGCAACCTGAGAGAGTTGTACAGATGTACACTTCATCTAATTTATATAACGATGCACGTCATCAGCGTCATAGCCTGTGACGTCATATGATACCAACACGAAATATTTAGGGTTTAGGGGTGTTCTTTTTAGAATCACTTTACCGAGTACACTGGCATTACAGCCGCTACACATATTTTATTATATACGCGTAGAAATAATATTTAAAAATTTCTATTAATGTTCACTTAAAGAAATACACAATAATATGTTTCATTTAATTTGTATAAATCCATTATAAAGAGTTTTTATCAAGAACATTTTTTCGGAACACACTGTAACTGTAATCGAACAAAGGTAAAATTTTGGCATAAATTGGTAACACTTATTTGACAGTTGCGGTGTTGACACTTTTTGTAGTTTATTATTTTTAATTTTAAAGTGAACACCTCTTGTTTTATATTTTTACCTATTTAATAAAATCTGTTCTTTTTAGAACAAAATTAGTGTGTTTTATTTCAAAAATGTCACGTAAGAATTTAAATAGTCGTTGTAAAGAGATGGTAATACTTTTGCAGTAATTATGTGACCTATTTGATTTAAAATGGAGTCAGGATTTTTTTATATTTTGGCAACTATGTCAACTTCGATGTCTGACGTATATAATGACGTAAGTCGTTATCTAAATTAGATGAAGTATACATCAAATGAACTTTTCAGAGCAGCCGTCTCAAAAGTCCGGATAGCTAAGATTTTTGCCTCTTGCCTCAAGACCTTTGCCGCGGAGATTGCACTTGATAGAAGAAGAAGAAGATTAAAAAATGTTTTACCGTTAGCACACTATTGCACACTTCACACACTAGTTAATATTTCTAAATAGGTATAATACCTATTTGTGATCAATTGAATTAGAGAATTAAAAATGATATATTAATAAGTTTCTGCAGATGCTTCGCTATCTAAGTCTGTTTGAAGGTCTGGGTTGATTTTCTACAACATTTTATTTCTTATTTAGATGCATTTAACTTTAATTTTTCGGTCCTTCAGGTAAGGGTATATTTCAGTTAATGGATCTATGACCTCTGCTGTTTCTTCTGTATATATTTTTGCGATGCTTAACGGCTCTAATGAGACCTCACAGTTTTCAAAAAAGTCTAATAACCGCTCGTAAGTTACAGGGTAGTAGGAGTTTGGCTTATCAAATAATGTTTTAGTGTAACTTAACATTTTTTTACTGTTTATTTTTTGTTTTAATATTTAAATCTAATTTGACTTTCTTCTCTTTATTTTTTTGATGT